TTCCGGCCCATGAAGGGCCGGGGCCACCTGCGAGGGGCCGCCCTGGGGATTCACGGATGGCGGGAGGAGCGAGGACACGGATCACGTGAGGAGGGAGGACACAGACGGACGGACGGGAGTCCCGTCTGCCGCTGCGCGGGGTGCGGCCCCTGGGGGTGTCGGCCGCCAGGAGCTCCGGGAGGACAGGCCCCTCTGCTCTGGTCACCGCCGAGGCCGGGCCCGGACAGGCCTGCTCACAGCGGCCCCGGCAGACAGCCCTGGGCGGAACCCGGACCGGCACCAGCTCCCCCACAGGCCCGGCTGAGCGCCCCGGAGCCAGCCCTGAGGGCGAGGGCTCTCAAGGCCCCCTGGCCGCTGGGAGAGCCGAGGCCCGGCAGCCGGGACACCCAGGCTCCCGGTCAGGAGCCCGGGCCTGGCGTGAGCGGGCGTGTTTCTGAGCCTGCGTGTGGGTCTGCCCGTTCCCTCCGCCCCTTCCTCCGTTCGTTCATCGCTCGTTTCACACCTCTCGTCTGCGCCGAGGAGGGCAGAGTGAGCCGCCACGGCCCCCTGAGGCCCCGGCCGTGCCCGGGGGTGCCCCTGGTCTCCTCTGCGGTGTATGTTGGAAGTGCAAGCACATGCGCACACGCACACGCATGTACACATATATACGCATACACACGCACACACTCACGCATACAAACGCATACACACATACACGCATACACACACACGTGCACACACACACGCACACGGAGCTGTCCCCGCAGTGGGCAGCCTCCTGGACAGCGGAGTGTGGCCCAGGCCGCTCCGCCCTCAGGAAAAGCAGGCGCCCGGGGAGACTGAGCGCCCTTTGTGCACGGCGGGCGGTGGCGGGCGGCCGTTACTCACCGGAGGAAAGGAGGAGCACCCTGCTGGCCCGCCCGTCGCCCGCTCCGGGCCCCACCTCTCTGTGGCTTTTCCTGTCCCCTGAGCTCATCGGGAGCAGACTGGGAGGCCCCCGGGCCCCAGCGTGTGCTCTGCGACCCGCCCTCACCCCGGGGAGACCTGCTCAGAGGTGGGCACCTTCCCGGGCCACGCCGAGGCCGGGCGGGCAGAGAAGCGGGACCAGGAAGGGCTCCGAGGCGGAAGGAAGTCGGAGTCGCAATGACCATGAGGCCTGGCCTCCCATCCTTGTGCCCACCCGTCTGGGTGCCAGCTCATGGGACCCAACACCAGGGCAGGGGGCGCCCTGGGCAGGGGGCGCCCTGGGCGGGGCAGGGTGGCGGCTGGAATACCCCGAATCCCCGCACTCTGGCAGGGCTCTGACTTCCAGCAACCCCCAGGCGGCAGCCCAAGAAACAGAGAGGTGAAGCCACTTCCTGAGGTCACACAGCAGTGAGTGGCGGAGCTGAGAGTGAGCCGAGGTGGCGCAGACCCCAAAGGGGTCCAGGTGGCTTTCCGGAAGGACGCTAGGCCGGTCCCTGGGCCTTCGGGGACCAGGGGACCGTCACTCGGTTCTGGCTTCCATTCCAGCTCTGCCAGCAGCCAGCAGGGCATCCTGGCCAACTGCTTCTGAGTCTGTCTTCTCGGCTGTAAAATGGAAGCCCACCTTCCTGCCCCCACCCCCACCCCTGCCTTCCTGTTCTCCCCCCCCTCACCCCTGCCTTCCTGTGCCCCTTCCCTACCTCCCCCCCCCCCCCCCCCGCCACCTCCAGGAGGCGGGGTACGACACCGCGAAGTTAACATCGCGCGCGAGGCATTGGTTATAGATTAAACAGTCACTGGTGTGTTGAGGACAGTCCACAACCGCCCCCCAAGCAGGCACTACCAACACCCCATTTTACCGATGAGGAAACCGAGGCCCCAGGAGGGGGGATTTGCTGAGAGCGGACCGGAACCCGGTGGCCGGGCTCCGGCCCCGGTTTACGCATTAAATCAGGAAAGCGGGGAGGGCAGCTTTGGCACGGAGCTGATGCTCGTAAATATTTCACGGGTGAGAGGCATCATCCTTTGTCCAAACACAAGTCTAGATTTGCCCCTGCTCCCTCCCCCCGCCCGGCTGGCTCCCAGGGGCTCCCAGGGGGGCACCCCGGAACGGCCGGGCAGGAGGAGGAAGGAGGTGGCATGGGAGAGCCCCGCTGTGTGCCCTGTCCGTCCTGGCGAAGGGGGAGCTGGGAGCCCATTTGACAGGAGAGGAAACTGAGGCTGGGAGGTCAGGTGACCGGCCTGAGCTCCCCTGGTGAGGGCGGAGCAGCCCAGGGCTGAGCCCACGTCTGTCTGAGCCGTTCCGGTGTCTCTATGCTACATCTCACCACCTGGACCCAGGCAGACGGACGGGCCTCCCTGGGGCCGGAGGGCGTGGATTTTGAAATCAGACGCATGGAGTTCCGATCCCAGCCTGCCCCTTCCCAGCCGAGAGATCCTGAGCACACAACACCGCTGCTCAGTCCTGTTCCTCCCCCTCAAAACCGGGTGCGATCCCCGTGCTGCGCTCAGAGGGCTAGCACCCTGGCCTCGCACCGCGCACAGTGAGTGCTCAGTGGATGCCTCTCTCATCGTCATGACGACAGCCAGCCAGGCAGAACCTGTACCCCGAGCTCAGAGCCGGTCAGAGGTATCTCAAGAGATCTGAATTAATCGTTAACAGGTGAATTCCTCTCCCAGCGAGCGATGCGGAGCGGTCCGGAGGCCCAGGTCCTGGGACAGGGCGCGGAGCTGGTCCCTGGGCCCCTGGGACTGGGGAGGCACCTGGAGCGTCTTTCCCAGAATCACACGGGGCGCCTGGAGGCAGCAGGCCAGGGGCCGGGGAGGGGAGAGATGCCCATGTCACATGGACCTCCCTCCAGGAACAGACAACGGAGCTTAAAAGACTCCCCGTCTCAGCCGAAACCAGTTTGGCTCGGATAGAGGACTGGGGACTGAAAGGTCCCGGGTTCGATTCCGGTCAAGGGTATGTACCTTGGTTGCGGGCACATCCCCAGTAGGGGGTGTGCAAGAGGCAGCCGATCAATGACTCTCTCATCGATGTTTCTAGCTCTCTATCTCTCTCCCTTCCTCTCTGTACAAAATCAATAAAGAACATATTTAAAAGAAAGACTCCCCGTCTCAGAGTGATGTGCTCAGTCGCTCAGCTAGGCCACAGAGCACCTACTGTGCACCAGGCCCAGGGCGGCAGCCTTGTGCACTTCTCCTCCTGCGTCTCCTTCCAGGCACCTCCCCGTTCCCACCGGCCTCACACCTCTCCCTGGACCATCTCCGGACCGGCCTCCCTGCCTGGCCCCCTTTCCAGACCACACACCCAGCATGCCCCCTCCGCACCCCCTCACCCCAGCCTGGACACCGGGGCTTGGGTGGGACCTGGGTGGGACCTGGGCCTGCCTCTCTGACCCCTCCCCCTTCCTGTTTACATCACACTCCACACAAACGGAACAATTTCCTGACTCTACAAGCCCAAAGTTTACTCACCTTACTCCATTTCTCTCTCTCTCTCTTTTAATATATAAATGTTTAGTGATTTTGTAGAGGAAGGGAGAGGGAGAGATAGAGACATCTATGACGAAAGAGAATCATAGCCGAAACCGGTTTAGCTCAGTGGATAGAGTGTCGGCCTGAGGACCAAAAGGTCCCGGGTTCGATTTCGGTCAAGGGCATGGACCTTGGTTGCGGGCACATCCCCAGTAGGGGGTGTGCAGGAGGCAGCTGATCGATGTTTCTCTCACATGGATGTTTCTAACTCTCTATCCGTCTCTCTTCCTCTCTGTAAAAAATCAATAAAATATATTAAAAAAAAGAAAGAAAGAGAGAAAGAAAGAAAGAAAGAGAAAGAGAGGATCATAGATCGGATGCCTCCTGCACGCCCCACACTGGGGATGGAGCCGAACCCGGGCCTGTGCCCTGACCGGACCGAACCGTGACCTCCTGGTTCACAGGTGGGCGCTGAGCCCGCTGGCCGGGCACTTACTCCGTCGCACGATGGCCACCTGGCTTTACACGTGAACTGGACGGCCATGGGTGCCACTTGGCACCTGTCTGGGAGCCCCCCCACCCCCAGTTCACCAGTGAAGGCGGGAAAGAGGGTCCCCCGCCTCTCTGGCTCCCACTGTTACTCCGACAGAAAGAACGGCAGGAACGCGGAACGGGTCCACCCTTCCTCACCCCTTTTCGTTCTGGCGTTTGTGGCAGCACCACCAGCAGACACCACGGCCAGCGCCGGGCTCTGAGCGCCAGGCTGCCCGGCCCGCACCGGCCGCCCGCCCTCACCCCGCCCTGGGTGGCCTCATGCCGCCCCCGTTTCACAGGGGACACGGGGGCCAAGCTCAAGGTCACCCAGCAGAGGGGAGCAGGGAGGCCACCTCCTCAGAGGCAGCCGCTGCGCTGGCGCCTGTCCGCCTGTCCGCCTGTCCGCCTGGCGCCTGTCCGCCGAGCTCCATGCAAACCTGAGGTCCCCGCAGCGCCCAGCCCAGGGCAGCCCTCAGGCCCGGGGCCAGGCTCAGGGTGCCAGGCTCAGGGTGCCAGGCTCAGGGTGGTGCCAGGGCTCAGGGTGCCAGGCTCAGGGTGCCAGGCTCAGGGCGGCAGGGATCAGGCGGCAGCCCCGAGGAGCCACGGCCCGCCCGCCCCTTCCAGGCCCCCCTGGGCGCGGGGCAGGAGGCTTGGGAGCCGGACGGTCCACTCAGCCACGTCCTGGCCTGACCCTCAGTTTCCCGGTCTCCAGAATGGGCCCCAGGGTGGGTGGCGGAGGTCCCCCCGGACCCGGACCCGGACCCGGACCCGGACCCGGGCGAGCTCCGCGGGGAGACCGGCTCTGCCCGCGAACAAAGTGGCTTTGCGGTTCCGGGCTCCGTCCCCCGCCCGCGCCTCCTCCGCGTCGCCCTGGGTGCTGGTGGGGGGGGCTTCCTCGGACCCGGGCTCCCCCAAGAGTGAAGGACGGACCCCGGGGAAGGTCCCGGACCCGGAGAACCGGGGCGCCCGCGCGACGCCCCAGCAGGAGGCGAGGGGCCCTGACGGCGCGACCCTCCCGGTCCTGCCCCGAGGGCGCCACTCACCTCCGGACCGCGCGGCGCCCGCAGCCGGGAGAGCCGCTTCCGAGTCCCCGGCGCCCGGCCCGGCCCGGCCCCTCCCCGCGCCCCTCCTCCCGGCACCGCCCCCCCCCCGGCGCCCCTCCTTTCTCCCCCTCCCCCCGCCCCTCCTCCCCGGCGCTCCTCCCAAACCCCTCCTCCGTGCGCCCCGTCTCCGTGCGCCCCTCCTCCGTGCGCCCCTCCTCCGTGCGCTCAGGTTACGGCCGCGCCGCCCCCCATCTCACCCCCCACCCCACGCGGGCCCGGCGGGTGGAGGGCGCCCCGCACCCGGGCCGTGGGCCCCCCTCTCTGCCGGGGCGGGGCGGAGCCTCAGTCTCCTCGCCCAGAGGATGGGCTGGGCCCGGGGCAGAAGGCAGCGGTCCTCGGAGCCGCCCTGGCACCGCCTCTCCTCTGTCCCAGAGCCCCGTCCGCCCTTCACCCGTCCACCGGCGAGGCCGGCGGGTCTGGGGGGTCCCCCGGCTGCCAAACCGGGCGCCTTGCCTCCGCCTTTCACAGCGCTGAGCACTGTGAAAGGGCTCCTCCGTGTCGGGTTGGCTGGTGTCGGGTTGGCTGGTGTGGGATTGGCGGCGGTGCAGCATCTTCACCCTGGCTGCTTGGTTACTCCCTAGCGCAGGCAGCTCACTCCCGCCCCGACCTCAGTCCATAGCCAGCCCTTTGTCTCCATTGGTTTTGTTGTTATTTTATTTTTATTGATTTCAAAGAGGGAGGGAGAGATAACAACAGTAATTATAAGAGAGAATCGTCCATCGGCCGCCTTGTATAAGCCCCACACTGGGATCAAGCCCACAACCCAGGTGCTCGCCCTGGCCAGGAATTGAACCGTGACCTCCTGGTTCATAGGTCGTCAACCACTGAACCACACCGGCCTGGCATCTCCATTGCTTGTATTCCATTGAGCTGACAGCCCCCTGGGTAAGACAGTGGACTTTCAAAACTGTTGGAAAGAGAGAACCAGAACGAAAGTGGTTTGTTCAAACCAGTCCCGAGGGGGAGACATTTACCTTGACAATGAAGTCACAGAGCGTGCGGGGAGAGGGGTCCAGTCAGCCGTCCTCCCACCCAGCTGGGAGGTGGGCTGCCGGGTCCCTCACAGATGGAGACGGGGCTGGAGAGGATGTGGGAAGAGAATCCTTTTCCCTCCCACCCAGGAGGGTAAACAGCAGCCCAGCTACCCAGCGTGAGGAATGTAAACAGAGGGCCCGCTGGCCTCCCTCCTGACCTCAGGGACGGCCCATGTGCCCGAGGCCTGCCGGGCCGGCCGGCCGGGCCGGGCTGGGCAGGCGGGTCAGGGTGGGAAGCAGAGGAGGAATGGGCAGGACTGGTCTGGAGCCCTTTCTAATATATTTTATTGATTTTGTACTGAGAGGAAGGGAGAGAGATGGAGAGTTAGAAACATCGATGAGAGAGTCATCCATCAGCCGCCTCTTGCATACCCCCTACTGGGGATGTGCCCGCAACCGGAATCAAACGGTACCTGCCCTTGACAGGAATCAAACCCGGGACCTTTCAGTCCCCAAGCCGACGCTCTATCCAGGAGCCCTTTCTGTCTCAAATGAAAAGACAATGACAATGTGATCCCCACCGGCAGGAGGCGATGGCGGACAGGGGGCCGATGGTGGGCAGGGGGCCGATGGCGGACAGGGGGCCGATGGCGGGCAGGAGGCCAACGACGGCGGGCAGGGGGCCGATGGCGGGCAGGAGGAGGTGGCTAGGTGATGCTCATTCTCCGAGGTCAGGGAGATGGGTGGGAGCCTCAGTCACCGCAGCTAACCCAGTCCTTCCCGACCCCCATTTCACAGACCGGCGGCTCAGACCCCGTGGAGGGTGTGCCTCCTCCCGGCCCAGGGCCTCGTTCCTGACGCCAGGTCAGGACTGCCCACCACTGAGGAGGCGGGAGCCCCTCCCTCTCAGAGCCTCAGTCTCCTCGTCTGGAAAACGGGTACAGTTTCCAAGAAGCAAGGACCATAACTGCCTAGTGTGCAGCTACAGGACCAGCGCCTGGCACTTAGTAGGTGTTTTAAAACCCCGGCTGGTTGAGGGAGACGGAGAGGGGAGTAGAAAGCTATTGCCTGGTGGGCACACAGTTTGTTTTGCCAAATGAGAGCATTAGGGAGGTGGGTGGTGATGTTTGCACAACATGAATGTACTTAATGCCGCTGAACTGTACACTTGAAAACGGTTCCCGATGGCCAATTCTGATATGTGTGTTTTCCCACAATTAAAAAAATGGGGGAAATACTGGTTGAAAGCGGGCAGAGGTGAGCCGGAGGAGGCTGTGAGGGGTCAGCCACCCAGCAGCCCCTCGCTGCTGCCGCTGAAGGCGAGCGAGGGCTGCGAGAGGGCTGCCTTCACTTCCCGCTCCTCACTGGTGACACTCTGCCACGCTGGGAGGGAGGGGAGCGGAGGGGAGGGGAGCGGAGGGGAGCGGAGGGGAGGGGAAGGGAGGGGAGGGGAGGGGAGCGGAGGGAGGAGGGGAGGGGAGGGAGGGGAGGGGAGGGGAGAGGAGGGGAGGGGAGGGGAGGAGAGGGGAGGCGAGGGGAGGGGAGGGGAGGGGAGGGGAGGGGAGGGAGGGGAAGGGAGGGGAGGGGAGGGGAGGGGAGTGGAGGGGAGAGGAGAGGAGGGGAGGGGAGAGGAGGGGAGGGAGGGGAGCGGAGGGGAGCGGAGAGGAGGGGAGGGGAGGGGAGGGGAGGGGAGAGGAGAGGAGAGGAGGGGAGGGGAGGGGAAGGGAGGGGAGGGGAGGGGAGCAGAGGGACTCCACGGAACCCTCCTCTGAGGGGAGGGGAGTTCAGTGCAGCCCACCGGTCCCAGAGCCAGGGGCGCAGCTATTCCACCCCAGGGGCTCCTGGCTGCCCCTGGAGCCTGCACTTAGCCAGCACCTACTGTATACCGGACAGCACCAGGCGCTGGGGAGAGACGTGAGCCAGAGGGTGAGCCTGTCAGGGACCTGACACCCATCACCCCGTGACACAAACAGGACATGGCACTTGGCACAGCCCTGATGCTGCCGGGGAGGGCGAGGGCTCTGGGGCTGGCTGGAGGAAGGACCTGCAGCAGGGCCACTGGAGCCGGGCCGCAGCCTCAGTGTGACCGCCAGGCGGAGTCTGAAGGCAGAGGGCAGCACGGAAGTGGAGAGCCGGAGAGCCGGCCCTCTGACGCTGCTGGCGGGACGGGGAGGGAACGATCTGGCAGCTCCTCCCCATGTTAAATACAGTCCCGCGGAGCCCACCCGTGCCCGGGACACAGCCAGAGGAGTGGAAACCGGCAGGTGAACGCTCCCAGCAGCCACTCACCGCGGCCGGACAGGAGCGGCTGCAGGGCGAATGGTCCGGGCACGGAGTGGGCCAGCTGTGAGGAGGATGGGGCTGGCTCACGCTATGACAGGGACGCGCCTGCAGACCATGCTGAGAGCCGCCGGCCGCGGCCACGCGCTGTGCGGTCCATGGACGTGACATCCGGGGAAAGCCAGGCCGTGGAGACAGCAGGCAGAGGACGGCTGCGGGGCGGGGGCGGGGCGGGAGGGCGGGAGGTGACAGTTAAAGGGCTTGGGCTCCTCTTTAAGGAGATGAAATGTCCTAAAACTCACAGTGGTGGTCACGGCACGTATCTGTGAGTATACGAAAATCCGCTGAATGGTACACTTTAAGTGGGTGAATTGTGTGTGTGAATTATCGGACATAATAAAAACCTAATATGCTAAGTGTCCAGTCAGCCATTCAGCCAATCAAAGTGTAATATGCTAATGATATGCTAAGGCCACTCAACCACTCACTGTGACATGCACTGACCACCAGGGGACAGATGCTCCTACTGGTAGTAGGTTAGTATGCTGCTGGGGTCCAGCTGATCTGGACAGAGCAAGGTGAACCGGACACGCCCTGGAGCCCTCTCCCGTCCCTCCCCAGCTGGCCAGCCTCCTGTATCCCTCCCCAGCCCCGATCATGCATCCTCTCACGATCTGGGACCCCCTCAGGGCATGTCAGAGAGCTGGTTTCGGCCGATCCCACAGGCCAGGCCGAGGGACCCCATTGGTGCATGAATTCATGCCCTGGGCCTCTAGTATTTCAATAAAGCTATTACCAAATACATACTTTTTATTTTTTATTTTTTTTAATATATTTTATTGATTTTGTACAGAGAGGAAGGGAGAGAGATAGAGAGTTAGAAACATTTCTGAGAGAGAGTCATTGATCAGCTGCCTCTTGCACACCCCCTACTGGGGATATGCCCGCAACCAAGGTACATGCCCTTGACCGGAATCGAACCCGGGACCCTTCAGTCCCCAAGCCAACGCTCTATCCATTGAGCCAAACCGGTTTCGGCCAAATACATACTTTTTAAAGGATAGTCTCAAATCAAAACGATACGGGTGTGGCCTTGGGCAGGTGACTGGGCTTCTCTGAGCCTCATTTTTCTTTTGTTGATCCTCACCTGAGGGTATTTCCCATTGATTTTAGACGGCGTGCGGGGGGGGGGGGGGGGGGGTGGAGAGAGAACCGGGATGTGAGAGAGACATTGACTGGTTGCATCCAGTAGGTGCTCAATCTGACCGGGCTGAGTCGAAGGTGCAAAGCAGATGCATGACCTTGACTGGGAATGGAGCCCAGGCCCTGCAGGGCCCAGGCCGACGTTCTCACCACGGAGCGTGCGGCCAGGGGGCTGAGCTCACCCCTGCGTCTCTGCAAGGGGCTACCCGCCGGCCTCGCTCGGTGCGGGGATCGCACACGCAGCGCCGCCGCCTGGTCCCTGTGCAGTCACCACCCCGCCCCGCCCCGCGCTCCCACCTGCGCCCACGTGACAGCGTCCCTGCCCAGGCATCTCAGGAGGCGGGCATTCCTGTCCCCTTCTCATCGTCCCCGTTTTACAGATGAGAACTGTGAGTCCCGAAGACAGCGCCCCCGCACCCCGGCAGCTTTCTGCCTCTGCTCTCAGCCCCTCTCTCTCCCCCAGGGGCACCCCGCAGTCCGGCTGGCGGCCTCACAGCCCCAGAACGTGGCTTAGGCCAAGAATGG